TGGATATGCTTAGTAAAAAACTAAAAGACATATCCCAACAATCTAAATTAATGATTGACGATTTTTTAGAAGTTTAATAAAATACTATTTTCCATTGTTTCATACTTCCTATTATATTGATTACTATCGAACTCCTATAATGTTTTATTCATTTTCTTTAATAGTAGAAAAATAAAAAATACACTACTACTTCAGGTATGATTGATTTTCCCTTTCTCATTTCAATTTAAAGAAAAATTTGCAAATTTTACCCGCCAAATTTGAGGGAACGCTAAAGCAAGATAGGCAAGGTTAAAGTTATCGAAGAAAGATAGAAATATAACTAAATTTGGTGCGAACATTTTTAATTATGGCCAAAGACCAGTTCTCATAATAAAATTTCAAGTTTTTTACGATTTTTCTCATGTTCGAATTTTTTGCATTTGGCTAATTCATATGTTACACTTGATTTTTTGCGATTGGATTGGTAAATTATCACGTGACATTGATATTCTGACTTCAAAAGTTTGAAAGTTTTATCAATAAATTTATTACATCGAGAAGATTCATTATAAGACTAAAATGAATATCCGTTTACTATAATCATTCTTTACTGTAGCGAGATTTTAAGTGTATAACTTGTTGAATTTACGACATTATTATTCTCTATTATTTGTACTTTGAATATAGTATTTGAAGGTCACTAATCTATACTCGGTTTAGCGATGACTAATTAAGATCGAGGATGGACCTTGCCCCAAAACATATAATGTCGGTAACACGATATATTTGTTAAATCGATCAATGACTGGACATACATTTTATTCCGTTATACTTACCAATCGTAATGATTAAACGATTATATGTCATTTCTACGGTCGAATTTTCAGTAAGCATTTCAATATTTTTAATTTTTAATTAAAATGTTATACTCAATTTTTTGCGGGGTAGCATGGAATGACCGATTGGTTGGTGTTTTGAGCAACGTGCATACAAGCAACGTGGTCATTGATTGCTGTGCATACAATGTATACAATAAAAGAAACATTACAAGTGACACTGAATTAAATCTGCTTTACTATAATTGGTTACTATGTTTGGCTATCAGGGTTTTTTGCTACTTGGTTTTATCTTCTTTTAGGTCAAATGAATTGCATGCAATATACGTATAAAACATTAACTATACTTGTCCATTAGACATATCACACAAATACTCAATGAATTGACATTTTAGACGCACGTTTTGATGCCTAACCTTTACACAGGAGAAACAGCGTAAATTTTGAATTAGCTTCGGCGCTACTTCTTATCAAATTTATTTTATAACATTATCTCTACCCAATGAAAATCTTACCACGTATTTTATTATTATTATTATTATTTATTATTATCTAACTTCTGGTCTGTGCAAAGTACAAACATTTTTTGCATACTAAATATTAATCGCAATTCTTTGTCTATTGATCTCGGGATTTGCGTCATTGTTAAATTTCTAATTGTGCTTTAAGTTATGGAAAGACGTTCCAAACTGAAACAAACGCATTTATTTATATGGGTTTATTTACTTTTGCTATGCAACAGAAAAAGATTTACATATTCCTTTCTTTTCTTCTACATCAATGGAAATTCGAACTATATTTAGAATTTAGAATGTGTGTATGTGAAGTTATATAACGTAAAAAATGCTTACAAAATTCATTGCATACAATTCATCGCACATATTACTAACAATTTATAAGCAAATAATCTCGTTGGATGCCGTGAAAGATATTTGTCGAATAAGCAACTCAATTTATTCAGTCTTTGAATGAATCTGGGTGTAAGAGCATATTTGAATTTCAAAATAGGAATAAAGATACCAACTAATCATTCATTCACTCTATAACTTGAAAAATTTCCCGAGTTTATTCGTTCTCGATGGATACAAATCATGTTTTGAATTTGTCAGATTGTTTTTCTAGTAGTGACACACAGGGATATAGAACATCATATAAGAATATGACCTAAAATAACAATGGTACACGGGTTATCCTATACTTTTTTTTGCAATCAATGTCATCAGCGATATTGGGGAACAATAGAATCTGACGTGACAAAGAACTAATGAAAATTTTGAGCAACGATTACCGAATAAATATGCAAGCAATCATACATATGCATACATACAATAGAGAGTTCATTTACAGAAATTTATTCCGAGTTTAATGTTACTTTGCATTAATTGTTCTATTTTTATCCAGAGAAAAATTTAACTTTATCTTTGTTGTTTTATTATTAGATGCTTTTGTTGTTGAAACACATAAAAAAAGGTGACAGAATGTGAAGATCTTTCTTTTCTGAAAATCACATACAAGTATGAACATATAATGAATTTTTCCACGTCATATGGCGACATGGGTCGGAAACAGTTATTTATAGAGCATTAATTTAACAATTTCCATTTTTGTCTTTCGAACAATGGATAATATGTAAACTTTAATTTGATTTCCTCGAAAGTTTTAGATTAATTCGAATACACGAATATTTTTAACCCGTAAGACATTTTGTATATATAATTTATTCAATGAATTAGGCAATCCGAATATTCCTAAATACCAAGGAAGTAATAACTTAAGTCCGACCAAACTTGTTTTATGAAACCTCTTTAAAGATAGACGTTCCTCGGTGAAGTTTGATTTTGTTAATTCGCAGAGACTACTTTTAAAAAATAATTATAACTTATGAAACAATTTAGTATGATGAAACATATTGTGAACAATGTGAGTATTCAAAATAAAACGAAGTTTATCCCTTCGTGTTACACAAAATAATTAGTAAGAGACTAATTAACATCTGTGCATACACATTGACTTAACACACGTTGCCTAAATACAAACAAACAGTTACCCATGTGGTGAAAATTTGTATCAATTACTGATGTCTTTTGTCTCTTATTATTATTTCTTTGTTCCCCGTAAGCAAATATTTTTTAATCAATAACAAAATGAATGAAACGAATAAATAAATAAGGATGAATAAATGAGCGAATAAATAATCATTTTATTTATTTATTTGTTTATTATTATTTATCATCTCATAAATGTTATTGTGTATTCTTTGTTATTATTTATTATTATTGTTATTATTGCTACCATTGTATATTACTCATCTCCAGATACTATGATGCCATCTAGATTCTCCTTCACATGTTTATTGACTAAAAAATATGCAAAGTAACGGAAATCTTGAAATATTTTCTCTTGTGGCGACTTGCTTTTCCTCGGGATGGCACGTTTTTCCATAATTTATAATGATCGATAAATTACACGAATTCAGTACACGTCAAAGAACTAAATTCACGTCTATTGTTCTTAAGGCAAAAGATAAATAGATTATTTAGCAAATTCTTTGGGGAAATAAGCATACATGCATACATATATATATATTGATTGTAATCACGTTTTATTGGGTTTTTGTCAAAGTAAGCGTCATTCAGATTGATTAACGTGTAAATCAAAGTTCAGCGGTCCTTTAGTAATAAGCTCAATGAATGATTTACGTACGTGCCAGATTTAGAATCATCTAAGATCAAAAAAATCAATAATCACATCAACAAAAGGCATGACAATAGCAATGACATTAAGCGGCGTATATCCTTGGCGACGATTATCAGTTCATTCTTTGTCGATTATTGCTTCTGTTTTCAGAATCTTCGTTTTTGATCTATTTTTAATTAAGCTTGCCATTTAATAGTTTAGTTGTTGTCAATTCTCTGGTCTTCTTCCCAGATTTACGGATTGTTTTCTTCTGTCATACACCCGCTAATATCCTCTTTATTCATTCATCCACCGTTTACTGAAACTATGCATCGTCATCATCACCCCGTTAATTAATCATCACGTTCAATATTTGTATAAACTCGCTTTTTGTTATCATTCTAAATGTGATTTCCAATTAAAATGCAAAGATCCCCCTATTACTTAATTAAAGAAAACTCTTTTTTTTTAAAGTGTTTACCAAAAAAAATAAATAAGGTAATACTCGGGAGAAAGACTCCCGCGGGCGTTTACGATTGTCGATGTATCCCTTTGATCAGATGAACCATTATTTTTTCTGTCATTTGCTATCTATCGTAATTGATTATTATTGTGGTCAGCGCTTTACGTGTTTACCAACAGGTTTATTGTTGTGGTCATAGTTCGTTTTAGTTGCGGAGTATTTAAAAAGTAAAGCAACATACAAATGAATTACACTTCTTTTTTATTAGTGTATATTTTTTTATATTGCCGATAAGTGTGTATGCGTTAAAACGTAATATAAACTAATTTTTTGCTTTTTAGTTAACTAATTCGGCGACTTATTTTAAGGAATACCGTCCAATGACATTTGAATATTGTCGGTACTTTAAAATATATAAATCTATCTATGAATGAATGATGAATGAATCATCACAGATAACAGTAAATTATCAATTTATGCATACCTACTTTCGTTTTGGAAATACATGTACAAAAAATTCTCATTATGGCAATTGATGCTACACCTAAAAAGATATAAATCGTCAATTTTTCCTTCGAGATTTTTTCAACATTAACCCCCTTTTTTTCGATTCCCCTTTAAAATTCTTTCTTTCTTTCCCTTTCTCTCTTTGCTGGTGTTCGACGACGGGTCTTTCGATAGCTCGTCTGCATATATATGAGTGTGTAGTGTTTATTTATTGTTTATTCCCACCCTTCCTATTATTTATCAAACTTTACGCTAAAAACTCTCCAATCAGCGCATTTGATTAGAGTTTCATTGTATTTATCAATATTATTATACTTATATAATAATATTAATAGAACAAAAGAAAACAGGACATTATATTCATTATAGCTAAAAAGATTTTTGCAAGTACAAAATTCTTCACCTAGCCAAAAAAAATCCCCTTTTTCCCGAATCGAAAGAATCCATCACCAAAATCGCTTACCTTTTTAATTATTTATCACCATAATAGCAATAACGCTAATCGTTTTCTTATGAGTTTATTCGTAATTAACGATATGATTACCGACGAATCGAACGATTCTCACGAAAACAAACGAGTAAAAATCACAACGGCATGCGATACTTGCCGTCGGCGAAAAGTTAAATGCGACGGTGCTACTCCATGTACCAATTGCGGACGAGGAGGTAAACTTTTGAATTTTTTGATCTTTTTTATTTCCCATATCTCATGATCGTTTCTGTGTATTGTCTATTCAATTTATGAATAATAATATAGGATATCAATGTAATTTTTCTGACGCTTCAACCAAACGACCTAGAGGCCCACCTAAAGGATTCGTTGCACTCATAGAAGATAGACTACATACTATAGAATCTTTGTTGGTCAATCTTACTAAAGATAAGACACCAAACACACCACCAGCCGATGTAAATTCTCAACCAATTAATTTTACTATTCCTGGGGATCAGAGTAGCGATGACGAAGATGATTTGGAAAAGAATTCATCAAGTTCTATCACCAATAATTATCAGGATAACACTTTGTATTTGCAACCTGCTTCACAATCAGAACCAGAGCTACCAAGTTCTTTACCACAAATTAATCCTCCACCACAAGATGTTGTGAATCAACTTCTGGACAAATTTTTCACACATTTTCATCCGTTCTTCCCAATAATAAATCGAACACAACTATACCGGCAGTTGCAAAGTACTGATGATCAGCCATCACCATTACTCATGTATGCCATTTATGCTGTTGGTGCTTTATATCCACCAATATTACAGGATTCTTATAGTCCAATGACATTCTACGAACATGCAAAAAGTAAATATCTTGAGGGAAATTTAAATGATTTTTAAGTATATCATAAATTAATACTGAATTTTTTCTTATTCTTTTCTCAAAGGTTTGTTGGATCATTTCCTCGATGCTCCAAGACTATCCACAGTGCAAGCTTTGATCTTATTATGCATGGTCGATCAAGGAAAAACTTCGTCTTATCGATCACAATCTTATTCTTTCATGGCTATTCGCATGGCTCAAAGCATGAGACTTAATCGAAAAAATAGTGCTATCTACCAACAGAGCAGGAATAAACATACTAAGAAATTAGTTTGGTGGTCTTGCTTTATCCTCGATCGATTACACAGTCTATCAACAGGGGATCCCTTAACAATTAATGAAGAAACTTGTGACATTGAACTTCCATTGGCAGACGAAGTAGATGATCAATCAGGCGAATTACAACAAACTCCTCATAACACATCACATGCACAAACTGTGATGATGTTTGTGCATTTTATTCGATTGACGCAGTTAATGGGACAGATAATCAATTATCTTCAGACGATAGCATGCACGGATATTTCAACATCTTTGGCTCACCATAATATGATCTCTTATTATGAAGCAGCGCTTTTGAGCTGGATTCGTGACTTACCTCCGTACCTGCAATTCCCACCCGCAGGCCACGGTATCCCGCCTGCTGGTCAAATTGCAGCTCTTCATATGCATTATCATACGCTGAAGATTATGTTGCATTATCCTTACATTGCTTCGCGGTCGACTAGTCCACAAGTGTCGAAAACTTACCTCAAATCTTTGAATGCATGCGTCAATGCAGCTAACATGATTTCACATATTAGTGGTATGTATTTTTATATGTTTTCAATTCATTCCTTATTAAACTGTAAAGATAATATTTCTAATAGATAATTATTTTATTATCTAGCTGTGTCATTAAATAATGTGTATGTGTGCATAACATATCCAACCATGTTTCATTGCTTGGCGCAAGCGGCGAACGTTCATATTATCAATATTAATTCTGCAAATAAAGGTTTAGCTTCTCACGCGTATGCTAACATCTATAAGACAATCAATGTTGGTCAATTCTATGCCGAGCATGGAGTAATGTCAGAGTTAGCTAATCGAACGATCAAAACATTAGAGGGTGTTTTAATAGCACATCGAGATCCATATATTGAAACAGTTATCCCTTCAACCGCAACCACTGTGTCTTCAAATATACCCCACATCAGAGTATCCTCAACATCGTCCAGTACAATGTTTGCACCACTACCTCTAGCATCTGATCATTCTCTTTCGACGCTTACAACTCCCGTTATCTCGTTTGGTCCATACTCTTCTCCTGCGTCAACACATTTGAGCAGTCCGACGATAGGTTCCAGTTCTCAATCTCCTAGCATTCAACATACTCCCACGATCACTTATATTCAACAATCTCCTTCACATATACAAAAAGCGACTCAGGCCTTCCTTCCAGATACAGTTCCTCCCTTCGGATCGGATGAATATTTCGACCCAACTGTTTCCTCGACCAACATGATAGCAGCAGTATCTGATTTAGGCCAAGAACATAATTCATGTTGGAATATGAACATGAATTTCTCTGGATCTCAATCCAATCTTGTGCATAATAGTTATGAATTGGCAAGTTCAGCGTCATCATCGAGTTGCTATTCATCGCCGTAACATAGACAATCACGTAATCTTGCGTCACCTACATTTTACAATGTCTTCTTTCGGTATCATCCATTAAAATTATGCTCGTGTTTCAAATATAGAAATTAGAGCGTATTCTTTTTAGAGATGAAGGTCATCGTGGGTAATAATGTGGACAAGATCATGTTGGCAGGAGCTTAAACACGCATTGTACGGTATAATGCTTATTTTTAAAGCAGCGCTAAATATGCCTCGAGATTTCTGGAAGTGTACCTTCTTCATTCTAGTTTGCATTTTTGCAATACCAACTATTCGAACTTTTTTTTAATTACTATTCTTTCTTGTAATATAATATTTAATTTTCTTATTCACTGGGAATTTTTGGCGGTGGCGGTAATTATGAGATCTAGGATGAAAGTAGTATTTTCATTTTATATACATCGTCATCCTTAAATTCCAATATCTTTTCTCCTTTGTAATGTACAGTTTTTTAACTTATTTAATTTCTAAACAATGTTGGCGGGGAATCGTTTCTTTTTTAATGAACAATTTTTTTTTCATTTCATAAACTTTTATTTATTTTCTTCATATTTTATTTAGTCCAAAATTTATTCCAACAACGAATTACACGCATAGTTCGTGTATTTGTTTGATCCGGAATTTATCATTAATTTCTTGATTTTCCATATTTATCGCAAATCCTGGGCTAACAAAATTACCTTCGAAAAATTTATGACAAACATTTAATAGATCGTTCTTGGCGACGACTATACGCCGTCTCTGTGAGACTGGCAGACCATCAAAATTATAGATTTTTCATTTGGGGGAGGGGGTTGATATGTTGCAAGCGCTAATTATTAACTAAATAGATAATCTAAATAATGCTCTTTTTTATTTCAGGTCCACCCATTTTAATGCTTTCGAATTCTTCGACTTTGAAGCATGTGCATGATATTCTCGAAAATTTTTTTAAATCATTTCATAAATAATATCGAGAATGCACATTGTTTATACTCCAGGCAAAGAATAATCTTACTATATTCACACACAACCACACCCCAATCGCTAATAATTCCCGAGGTGGGCGTCAACCTAGAGGTAGTGCAATACTAGGGACACCCGTGGGACCAAGTATAGCAAGCTAGGGACTTGGCCCCCCTCTGTAAAAATTAGTTAGATAACGTAGATGGACTGTGTCCATCGTTACAGTTATCAAACTGTAAAGAACAGATACTACACTTGATCTTAGCCAATAGGCTTGAGAGGATTAAAGAAACATTTTTGGCTGCAAGAAAAGATTCATATTTATAGAAAAAATTTTTGACGAGTCATGTGTAAATAAAATTGTGGGATTTTGGAAAGTTTAATTTGATTGGTTGATATGAGAAAAGCGTGATTCAGAATTTATACTGTTTATTACGTAATCTCTATCTTTATTATAAGGCTGTAGCCCTACCCCCCTGGTGATGTCATGATTAAATAAAGGCATTAACTGATATCCATGTGAACTTAGCTAAATATTGTTTTGATCGATTATTTTGACTAAGCATGTCAAAAAAACAAAAAAAAGATCTAAAATTAGAAACACTAAATAATTTTGGCCAACATTAAAGCCGCCGAAAATTCAATATATTTTGAAGTTCACTGAAAATTTCGATTTATTTTTAAAATTTTTGCAGGTCCCTGACGTGAACCTCCCCCTCCGCTTAAATTACGTAATAAACGGGATGACTTTAATTTGCGAACGAGCAACCAAATCATTAGATTATTGAGTTCAAACCGAAGAACCATGTGATTCAAGTCTGTCCCCGAACTAGGTCCCTGTTTACTGCAAATGCAGAATTTGCAGAATCCATTGGTTTATAATGTGAATTGAACTGGCATAATGATGTGATTTTGCAATTTACATTATATTTTATACGATACATGATTGCAAAAAATATTTAGATGATAAATTTTAAACCAACCCGGCAAATTTAAAAAAAACCAACAAATTCAGCAACTTTGAGACGTGATATCTCTACGTCCAACGGTCCAATCTGAACAGAAATAAGTCCATTCGATTTCTCTAATCTAGACGAATCGAATGGTTCTATTTTTGCCCAAATTGGATTGTTGAACGTCGAGATATCGCGTCCCAAAGTTACCGAATTTTAATTTTTTCATCATAATGGTCTAGCTTTTTTCGATTTGCGGGAATTTGCAGTAAGTTACTGCGGAAAATCCTTAAATACTCCGAACTGAACCATCCGATATTCCCCCTTAACCAATCAAATCGCAGAATATGTGCTTAATGTAAATACTAGCAAAAATTAAACATAAATGCTTGATTTTGAAAAAATAGCTTGTATTTCTAACAAAAAATGCTCCTTGCAAAATTTTACATATACAGTATTAATTTATATAATTTTAACATTGACATTAACTCTAACCGAATAATTTAGTGTTAGGTCGAAGGCAGATCGGAATCACATATCTGCCTGGAATTCGGAATAAAATCACAAGTGTAGATCTTCCATCTGCATTAAATCAAGAACATAAATTGCATATTTTCACATGAACCCTTAATAATCTGAAAATCCACATAAGTCTAGTATATGGCTTATCAGACAAAGGGTTGTATGTCATGAGGAACGGCATTAAATTTTAAACAGAACTGCATTTGAAGTACCGTATTCTCCCGGAAGTTGACTGCACTTTTTGATCTAAATTGGGGACGGTTGGTGTCTGTTTCCGGGAGAATACGGCACTTCGATCAACGATTAAAGGATGAGTGTATGGAAAGTTTAATTGCAACGTGTTTTGGTCTTCTTTATGCTCAATCAGTCGATATGAGGCTAGATTTTTTACGTCCGTTTAATGATTATAAATTATATGTTTTAATGTTGCCATAGCATAAGACAGTATTTTCTTTCTGTTTGCGGATCTTTCTAGTTGTGATTATCATTATTTCACATAAATATACAATCAGGTAGTGAATAATACAATTACATTAAGCGAAACTCTATCTTGGTGAATTAGCGATTAACTATTTAATTTTTCATAAACCATCACTAAGCGATGTGGAATGGCTGCTACGTCGTTGTATATCAAATGCTGGCTCTAGTAGATTTTGAGCAAGTATTCCAGCTTGATGGTTTGCATTGCTCTCGAGCGAAATGATTTCTTCCACCGGAAGGGTTGTAATAGATTCATTGGGTAAGTCTTCAACGGTGTATTCATATTCATCATCTGTACCTTCGCGATCAGAGTCAGAAGGCCGCCTCGGAATGAACTGTTTCATCTCGTTGCCACATCCTTCTTCAAGCATTTCATTCGAAATGTTTTCTTCGACCTCTTTAATCGAACGTCTTGCTAATATCCAAACATAAATAATTACACCAAGGCCAATTGATACACCGATCATAACTGGTATTATCCTCATGGGGTCTAAATGTATTTCATTGAAATTGCTGCTGTCTGAGTTTCCTTTTAAGTGTTCAGTAAAAGATGATATTTTGCTTCCGATCCATACATGAATTACAAGTTTGAATAGTGAAATTGCTGTCGCGATAGCATACACTCTTAATGAAATATGAGTTGCTGATAATAAAGTATTAAGAATATTGTAAGGATAAGGTGCCAATCTAATGAGCAACAACAACTATTGAATAGATTGTAAAAAAAAATGAAGCTGATGATTATTATTATTATTATTATTATTATTATTATTATTATTATTATTATTATTATTATTATTATTATTATTTATTATTA